TGCTTATTATAAAGTGTGCAGCATTGTAGTACATAAAAATGAAAAGTTCCCAAGCACAGAAGGAACAGGAAAGGAATGTGTGGCCCAAGGTCAGCTGTGCTATGTGGTCGAGTGATGTGGCTGTCTCAGGTGGCAAGTGTGAGATGGTGTAAAACGGCAGCAAATTATTAGTTACTTTGATGTTTTCTGTCTATTGCCAGGAGTAGGAAGAGGTGCGTTTGGTACAGGTTTTTGGCTTTCTGTACCAAAACAACTTGGCTGGCTTAAGGTATAGTGCACCATTACCTGGTTGAGCTGGGGGACAGGGGTGGGGATAAGTGTGAAAATAAACTCCTTTCTTTGCCAGGGGAAGTACCTCAACCTAACAGGATGGAACAGGAAACAGAAAGAGTAAACATGAACAAAACTGACAGATTTACACCTTGTTACTCCCTCATATTAGGGACGTGGTGGCGCTACAAGTTAAACTGCAGAAGCCTCTGTGCTGCAGGGTCAGAAGACCTGCAGTCGTAAGATCGAATCCACGCAATGGAGTGAGCCCCCGTCACTTGTCCCAGCTCCCGCCAACCTAGCCGTTTGAAAGCATGGAAAATGCGAGTAGATAAATAGGTACCACCACGGTGAGACGTTAAATGGTGTTCCGTGTCTAGTCACGCTGGCCACATGACCACAGAAGATTGTCTTCGGACAAACGCTAACTCTATGGGTTGGAAACGGAGATGAGCACCGCCCCTAGAGTCGGACACGACTGGACAAATTGTCAAGGGGAAACCTTTACCTTTGCTTTTACCTTACTCCCTCGTATTGGACCAACAGTGTCCACAACTTGTTCCATGTGTCATTTTGTGAAGCACCCCTGTTAAATACCACTTAAGCCATTGTGGTTCTCTCTCCTTAAAAAGGAAGCAGACCTCCTCCTGTTCTGCAGAGAAACACCAGCACAATCCACTAATAATGCACATTAAGTGGATTATTTCTGTTTTCAGATCATGGAAGTACTTGAGGGCCTTCAGGATTTGGAAGTATCCCTAGACATCTTAGCGGTAAGTGATTAAACAAGGGTGTGTGGCCACTTGGATCCCTGAAGGATTTAGTTAGGACCCATCCCTAACTGTGTGCATTAGGTATAGCAGAGAGATGACAAGCAAGAAAAGGGTTCAGCACCTTTCGTAGTCTCTCCTCTCTAAGTGGCTTTCCCTGAATAGAGGGTAAGGTACGAGTTCCCACACTTCTTAAAATCACTTCACACGCAAGCTTTTTCACTCTGGTATCAAAACAGAGCACACAAGATGTGTCGCACACCCCATTTGAATGTCTGACATGTATTTCTTCAGCTTTTTAAAAATGTGCCACCAATTTGCCTCCCAGTTACAGCAAGTCTAGTAGGGTTTTCAAGGGAAGCGAGATATTTAAAAAGTAGTTTTATCAGTGCCACCTCCCTCTCACTATGAGTTTCTGTGACTGAGCAAGGATTTGAATCCAGGTCCATCACCCTCTCCCATTACATCACACCGTGTATGTTTCTTTAGCTAGTTGATTCTCTCTCTCTCTCTGCATAAAGAATGGGGGACACATTTTTATACCATTGTATCCTATAGGACTACCGGCTTTGTTGTTGAGGTGTGGGTTCTAATTCAGCATTCACCCTAACCTTTAATAGGGATCCAAGTTACGGTCTGATTCAAATGTGACACTAGACCAATGGAGAAGCACTTATTTTTCTTCCCAGTGGCATGGCAGGATTGTCTTTCTCCCTAATTTATTTATTCATTCATTTTATTTAAAAGGACTCCACATTCCTGTCAAAGCTATTGGCGCACTACTGTGTTAATGAAAAATGTAGTTGCTGATGATTAAATCTTGGGTTTAGTTCATGGAAAGAGCTCAGATGTCACGGGCATGAAAATGTTGATGGCAGAGTGATACCTCAGGGGAATATTCCTTGCTTGCCCTTGGTTACTATATCTTGCAAGGAATCTGGAGTAGAAAATCTTTATTGACTTAAATTAAGGAAGTGGGATGCTGAAGCAGGTGTGTTTTCTTTTCTGTCTGTCTTCATGGTTTTTATCTAGGAAACAGGAGTGGGGAAAACGGTGAACAGTTTTAGAAAACATGCCACCGTGGGTGATCTAGCACAGTCTCTAATAAGTCATTGGAAAAAACTCATTCCTCAAGAAAATGGAAGGTAAGTGGAAGCCAAAACTAAAAATTTAGCAGTTGTCTGTTTCAGGTTAAGTATGCTCTTCGTTTATGTTTGATACTAACCGTCCTCCACAAAGATTAAAATAAAATTTAAAACATGTGAGTGAGTGAATTCTGGGGTGTTTTCTGACCTGGATTTGAATATTTTGAGGGTCAGCAGAAGGGTTTGGATCAGAGGGTGGGTTAAACTTATATATCTTATACATTTTCACTAATAAATCTAGGATACCCTCCCTTACATGGAGCTCACCTAGTGACCACGAGAGGATGTCAGTTCTGTCTCTACATTAAGCAGAAGCTGGCTGGAAGGAGCAAATAAACAATCATTCAATGGCAAACAAGGGCCATTAAAATTATAGTAAATATTTCTGAGCACAACAGTTCACTAAGAAACGCTAAAGAAAACCTTGTTTTCTGATTCTCCTTTCTGATCAAGATAGCGAAATAGAGAGCTATACCTTATTAATTTCTCTCTTTTATTATAAAGCCTGATTCTTTATATCCCATATTTTATATTAGCATAGTACCTTTAACAAGCTTCTAATACAGATTTTTAAATTTTTCTTATGGCCAACACAGATACCTTCTACTTTTTGTTTGATATTTTTTCCCAAGTGACAAAATCATTTCAAGAGAAAGAAGTGATGGGGGGGATGTCATCTATTGTGTTTTTTTTTTAAATTAAAATACATTTGCACAAATAATTGTACAAGTGTTTTCTGTACTAACCCTTCAAGGAATATTCTGGATTGGGACATCCCAATCAGTTTAGTCACCGTATTCCTTCCATTTGATCTGTCTCTGAATAAGTTGTAACCAAGGCTATAAGGAACTAGTGGTTTTCTCTTCTGTTTTGTTATTAAAAGAGCACATGAGGTTTGATTACCTATTTAAAACAGGTTAAACTGAAGTTAAGCATGCTAGAACTGTGTTCCCTAAAGTAGTTCTTGCTTGAGGGCCTAAGAATTAATCTCTACACCTGTGCAAGAGTTACCATGTGCACTGATCTTGAACCAAGGAATAGAAGAACCCATCTCCCTTAACCCAACCAGGCTGCAGCTGTGATGAACATCAGATATCATGTAATTCAGCCACTGCTGCCCTCTGCTGGAAATGCATAGTCATGCTCTGCTTAAAACAACATGCTCTGCCTTATGCATTCGGGGATCTCTATCTGGGAGATAACCGTCACAGAAGTTCAAGAAATCACAATCCGTCTGCTAAGTCGATCAGCTGGGATGCTTTGCATAACTTTCCCCTTTTATGTAAAACACAGCTAAATATGTGCATGCCAAACACAGAGTAAGGTGTAAATTGTACATTTGGACATCACGCATGCTGTTCATTTGACCTCAGTTGAGAATGTACACTAAGAGATTATTAGGACAAGCTGTATTTAAGCTTTGGATTGTTTTCATAACAATGGTTGAATCTTGATATTGTGGTTCTAGAGCTGGACAGGTCTTGTGGGGGAGGGGCAATAAGCAGACAGTTTGACTCGTCTCTAGCTGACTGCTTCCAAACCACCAGAGAGTGGTCAGTCATGGGGTGTGGATTTGAGTTGTCGTCTGAATCTTTGTTTCTGCTCTAAGCTACTTTGAACAAACATTGTAAATGAAATGAAATTCTTGGCTGCTCCCTTTTTATGGAGGATACCCTTGTGGCATCTCTGAAGTTCTATCCCATCCTCCACACTTCCTCCGTCAGAAAATGAAGGAGTGAGTGGGAGTGAAAACAGGCACTCAGTTTGGACATTGAACTTATTTAGCTATCTGAAAGGTTTATACCCCACTCTATAGTTGAAACTTTTCAGTGGTGGTTGCACCTATCTTTCCCTTTGAGTCTGTCCCTGTTCAGAAAGGTGGCATGTGTTGAAAGACCTAAAAAACTAAACCGAACGTTCTGACTCCCTGAGCCCTTTCCTGTCATGTGACCAGCACCTTGTCAAATACCTGTGGATACCTTCCGCATCTACAGTCTTGTGGATATCCACACGTTTGTCTGCTCGGAGGCAATGGAGGAAGTAGATGCATGTTGATGTCACAGCTGGAGGACTTGACCATCATTCGTAGGGCAAACAAGTCCCCTATGCTGGTTGTCCTGTTGCATGTATTCTGAAAATGATGTATTGCTTAGAATGTTTTAAACAAATGCTCCACTATTTGCACATGTTGAAAAATGTGAAAAGGAACTGGGGGGGGGAGAGGGAGAGACGAGTCTTGCTTGCTGTCAAAATTGGTTGCAATTTTTGTTCTTTGCATTGTAGCAAACCTAGACACCTGAAACATACCACCAAAAAGGAAAAAGGAACTTCAAATGGCAAGATAAAAATGCTGGGATCAAAGGAGGTCAAACCATCAAGGAGATCAAGCAATATTTCTTCATCATCTGATAAGCGGAATCAAGTACAGGGTTCAGAACATGAGCAAAGAAGTAAAGATTGTGGCTCTTTTTCTGGACATGAAAGTAAAGCAAGGTGCAAGGACACATGTGAGGCTTCATCTGGTAGCCAAGAGAAAATTAATTTAAAATATACACGCCAAGGAATTGATCGCAAAGAAAAAACTTCAGAAGAAAATGGCTTCTCTATAGCAATGAAAAAGGGGAGCAAATGGGCTCCAGGCAGCAGGGAAGATTTCTTAACCTTAGAAGGAGGGAAACCTGGCAAGGAACCATCGACTAAGCAAGTGGGCACAGAGATGAAAGGATTGCTAAAACCAAGCTCTAAATGCAAAAGTCCAGTGAAGCCACACTCTAGGAATGTTTCTGGACCCCCTGCTATGTCTTTCGAATCCTACCTGAACTATGACCAGCCTTTGTGCAGAAGAAAGAGGAAGTCTTCTGACAGACAGCCGGTGAAGGGAAACAGGAGCACTGCATCTCGGAAGAGTTCAACCACAACCCCTGAGGAAGGAGAAAGGAAACAATTAAAACTGGATGATCAATGGGAAGCTCCCAGGAAAAAGGTAAACTGTTATACAGTCTGTAGTAGCCAGATGTGAAGTACACATTTGGATTCATTCATGTTTTGAAAAGTAATGCTGGGAAACATTGGCTGAAATTCTGTTGCCTAGCATAGTAAGTTGCAACTAGAGTAGAAAAATTGAATCAATGGAGTTTACACAGGGGCTGACTCACCAAATCCATACTGATGCAATGGGCCTACTCTTGTGACTTACTATGCAACAGAGTTTCAGCCATTGACTTTAAATAGAAATCATTCTAAGTGTTCTGCCTTTGTGCAAATAAGTTCCTTTTAAAGACAAGTAACTGGGAAAGGTGAACGTCTATCTACAAATTTGTCTTTGAGCTGGACTGAACAATCTCTAACCTGGATTTGTTCCCTTGTTCCCAATGGGACCTAAGAACGGTAGCTTCCTTCCCCAGCAGATCTGTTTTCTGTCTCTTGTGCTTCAGAACATTCATAAGCGGGTGTATTCTCAAAAATATGTATAAAATCTAGCACAGAGAGATCCAAATTCTTCATTGATCACTGGATTTTATCTGGAATATTTTCTAAGTGAAACATGCCATGCATGGATGCTTATTGGTATTGGATGTACACCGGATATGCCTGGTGAGGATGTGCAGTGCTGGAACTACACGTGCAGTGGAATGGATCTGGCTAATAGTATTGGCTAGTACACAACTCCTGTGTCAAGTACAAGAATTAGTAATGAGCACCAGCTTGGGTGGGCACTTTTTTCAAAGTGTTAAACAATTTTCTGGAAGATGAATCTGTTGGTAGCCCTAGCCCATATGAGCTGAATGGAACTTGCTTATACATACGTGGTCTCTGTCTCAGAAAGAAGAAAAAGTCAGGGCTTAGAAAAGTTACTTTTTAAGCAACCACTTCCATAATCCTCTGGCAAGCATCTAGAATTTGTGGATTTGTACTTTGTTTGTTTGTTTGTTTATTTATTAAATTTATACCCTGTCCATCTAGACACATGTGTACTCTCTAGGCGGCTAACAATAAAAATAGAATAAAAACAGTATAATAAAATAAAAAGCAACAATAATAACATAGTTCAAGATGGGAAAAAATAATAATCAAGTGATGACAGGAGGCAAAGCCTGCCTAAAGAGCCAAGTCTTAAGTTGGCTCTTAAAAACACCCAGCGAGGGAGCCAGACAGATCTCTGAGAGGAGACTGTTCCAAAGGCAAGGGGCCACTGCCGAGAAGGCCC